ACCCCACCCCCTCATCAACTCCTTTAACTCTACACGCCCCTACATCTCTCACTCCACCCTTACTCACCCCTCACACCCCACCCCTCCTCACACCCCCTCAGTCACACCCCTACTCACATATAGTCCCCCCTCCCCCTCCTCCCACACCTCATCAGCCACTCCAATATTTTCACGGTCACTCCCCTTTGCTGTCCCTCATCTCCACTCCTACTCCTCTTAGGTGAGGTGAGGTGAGGTGAGGTGGCGTTAAGTTAGATCAGGTTAGGTTAGGAATGGAGGTCAGTTCAATTAAAAGTTAGTAGGTCAAGTCAGTTCAAATAGGATCAGGCAAAGTCAGTTCAGGTAACACATGACAAAATTATATCAGGTAAAACAAATCAGGTCAGGTCAGGTCAAGATCAGGTCAAACATAATTCTAATACCACATTATGCTATACTGTATAAATTCATCAACATATCGTCATTATAATATGCACTTGACACTGTGACAATATTCCTTCCAGTCACCGTGAATATATTTACAAAAGTGTATTGATGATGATTACAAAGTTAATTACGACAATGATCATAGAAGTAATGACATATAATTAGTTGACCATACTGACCAATGCTGATGTATATTATAATTAGATGTTTGAATAATTATGTTTATTAATTTTATTTTATAAGTATCGTATTACCCATCAAAATATACATACATACATACATACATACATACATACATACATACATGCATACATACAATATATACATACATCATGCATACATACATACACATTCCGTCAAACCACGATGTACTCATTACGTCCCATTGATACCACCCTCCCCATCCCAACCATTCTTGCCCACTCATACCCTCATCCACTCCTTACTCCAATCACTCCTGTTTCCTTCATCCTCCACCCATCCCTCAATTCCCTCTCACCCACTCTACCTCCACCCTCTCATCCATATCTCACCTCCCACACTCATTCCCCCTCAACCCTCCCACCCCCCCCCCCCCTCACCCCTCCTCAACACCCACACTCACAGATCCACCAAATGTGACTCCCAATAACGCAGAACAACCTGGACGTAAGCCACCCATCTTGTCAAAAATTCACACCATCTAAAGCAGAAAACCTTTCCCAGCGATCAATTTCAATAATGGTTGACACAACGATCCCACCAGTTAGAAAACCACGCCTGTGTAGTTGTTGTGAATTTGTTGTGAAGTTATTTGTAGTTGTAGTTTGTTTTGTTGGTGTTATTGTTGATTTTGTTTTATTGTGGTTTATTCTTGTGTGGATTTGGTGATTGTGGTTGTTGGAGGTTATGGTTGTTGGGGGTTGTAGTTTTTGTCAGGGTTGTATTTGTTTTTGTCGTTGTTGTTTTTGTTGTATAATTATTTCCTCCTAGATACTCTATTGTATATATATTCTCCTAACTTATAACCACGTTGTTATACTGGTAGTTATATTTCTCGTAGTTGTAATCGTAAAATACTTAGACTAACCTTGATTTATTTTCGTAAACTACAGAACTACAAGATACAAGGAATTTGGTAAAGTATTGAGGTAAGGACTCTTAGATTATGGTAAAATCGACGAATTCTCAAAAAAAAAAAAGTCGTGTGTAATATTTTATCTTATAGTAACTTAAGGTGAGAGCTGGACAAAAGATGGTGGCTTCTAG